ACCCTGATGCACAACTTTCTTAATTTTAAACCATTTAGTTTTCCCTTGCTCTGTTGCTTAGGTAGACAGACAGATATTATGCTTGAGATGGCTGCTTAAAAGCTTTTAAGGTTCCAGGCCCCAATGCAATCAACTTGAACATAAAAGAGAAGCACCAGACATGTTACTAGGCCAATTGACTGGAATGTTCTATGAAACTGTAGGGCCTGTGACCCTAAATATCGCTAATCCAAGAAACCAATCCCATGAAGTTTTTGGTTCTATATAAGTATCTTCAGTAAATACACTTAATATGTAAATTTTGCAGTTCACTTAAAAGGTGTACAGCTTATTAACAGACTACAATACTTAGCTTTGCAACCCTATTCTTTTTTTTTTTTTAATTTAGGTTGTTTATTTTTCATTTCAATGAACATCTACAGAGATTTTGGGATTCCATGCAACCCTATTCTTAACACAATATTTTAATCACCATTAACTCTACCTTTAGAGCAAATGAATGGATAGAAAAACTAGGTACAGTCACACAATATAATACTATGCAGCACTGAAAAAAACTGAACTGCTAAAGCATTACACAACATGGGGGATCCTGGAGGATATTGTTTTTGTCGTTATTGTTATGTGCTATCAAGTTACTTGAGACTCATAGAGACTAATAGAGACCCTGTGTACAACAGCCCTGAAACCTGCTCTGTCTTTTGCCAACTTTACTGTTTTTGACATACCTTCCCTCATTACTCCAGTTACTGAATCAAGCCATCTCACTGATGGTCTCCCTCTCTTTCTCCATCCCTTCACCCTTCCAAGCATGATGTCCCTCTCAAGGACAGGTCCCTTTTTGTAAACATGCCTGAAGTATGTCAAATGAAGCCTCAGAATCCTCTCCTACAAGAATAGCAGGATGGTTTCACCCTTTCCAGGACAAACCTGTTTGTTCTCTTAGCAGTCCATGTTCTATTCAACACTATTCTCCAGCACCACAGTTCAAAGGCATCAATTCTCTATCATCTCTAGTCATTGTCCATCTCTCTGATGCACGACAAGCAACTGTGAAGACTATGGACTGGATCAGGCACACCTTAGTCTCTAGACTGACACCATTGCTCTTCAGTACTCTGGAAAGGTCCTTGACAGCCAACTTGTCCAATGCAATTCATCTTTGGATTTCCTGGCTGTTAGTACCAAGAGTGTTGATTGTGTAGCTAAGTAAATTGAAGCTTTCAACAATCTCAATCTCTTCACCATCTATCACAATGCTGTCAATTGGCCCAGCGTGAGAATCTTTGTTTTTTGATGTTGAAGCTTTAATCCACATTGAAGGCTGCAGTCCTTGACGTTCTGTAGCAAGTGCTTCAGGTTCTGCAAGCAGGGTTGTGTCATCTGCATGATGCAGGTTGCTGATGAGTCTACCTCCAATATTGATGCCACACTTCTCCTCTTCGAGCCCAACCTCCCAGATAAACTGTTCTGCATATAGATTGAAAAGGAATGGAGACAGGATACATCCTTCACATGTATCTTTCCTGATTTTGACCCATGCAGTGTGTCCTTGCTCTATTATGACAACTGCCTCCTTATACTGAGTGATATCTCAGTCACAAAAAGACAAGCATTGTATAACACGGCTGTTACAAAATAGGACAGAGAAGTGGGGGGTGGGGAGGATGTGCATAGAAACGGAAAAGAGTGGATAGATAATGAACACTGAAGTAGAACAGATGAGAGGAAGAACTGTCCGAAAAGAATAAATGATTAGCCATTATACATATGGCAACTATCTGGAACAAGGGGTGCATTGTGGTACAGGCTGGGGGATTTGTGTGGAGAAAATGTGCAATAATGAATTAAAAAAAGCCAAACAAAGCCTATCAACTCTACCTTGATCCCTCTCTCTCATCCATGGTATCCCAAATAAACATTCACCTTTTATTTTTATTTGGTCCCTTTTCTACAAGTGAAATAACGCAATATTCTTTTGTAATTGATTTATTTTGTCAATGTCTTACAGTTCCATTAAAAAAAAGGAAAAGAAAAAGTCCAAGCAGGCCTAAACCTAGGAATCCTATTTTACTACCTCAGTTTGAGAAATCATTAGTGAAGCAAATGCAGGGCTTTGGCATGGTCCTTACCCAAGGCTGTGGCTGTTTCCACACCATCAACACTCTTGCTTTTATTTTTTAAATTTTCTAGTAATTCATTTACAAAATTCGAATAAAAAGTCGAACAAATTCTTTCAATTTCCCTCACCCCCTCCAGCAAATTGTACAACCTGACGATTATCTTCCCATCCCCCTGCCCATCCACATCCCTCTGCTTCCGGCCTCTCCCACTCCTCTTGGACCTTTATACTCATTCTACAATAATGGTTTTACACAGTATTTATCCTTGTGGGAGTGAGTTAGTTCACTCAGCATAATCCTCTCCAATCCCTCCCAAGTTAGGTAATAATTTACAAAATCATTGTTCCTGGAATTATCCCCCATTCTACAGGAAAGCCCCAACAATCTGTGCCAGGTAAGGAACAGTCCCCCTGGACGATGCGAAGCAGGCAGTATAATCCTAGTAGCTGAAGAAAAACAAACTGCATCTTGGCAAAACGAAATAGCCAAACCCCAAGCCCCTCCTTCAGGCCCTGTGTTAAAAGACAACATCTTCCTCTTCCACTTAGTTGCCCAAGTGACCTCTGTACACGGTGTGCCCTACAGTGACGCAGGGGCTCCCACAGAAGTTGCTGAAAACAGACTAAAGACTATCAGTTGGTATTAGTTGGCTGAACTCTAGGGATGTCAAGCAACCGAGGCTACATTCAGCCTGGTTCATTAACCACTGCCCATTATGGAGATTTAAACAAAGTAGATAAAAAAAGAGAACAGACCCACCTTGAAGTCTGAGTACCAGTCTAGAAGGATCTGAGAAAGCCACAGAGCATGACAGAGAAGATCCCAAGGCAAGTCCGACCATGAGAACCAGAGGGGATTCACTGTCACTTAGTGAGACAAGTTCAGTTTGTTAAATTACGCTCTCGGGGAACAGGAACATAGTCTACTAAATAGTGATTACCTAATTAAACTTCTTGAAGGTCCAGGGACACTGGTGGCTTAGCTGTAAGGAGGTATCCTGTAAAGCCAAAGGTGGCATCTCTCTGGTGGTTGGAATCACCAATCTCCATGGAAAAGAGATGGACAACCTCCTTATGTACAATAGACAGTTTCCAAACACCTGCTGGAAGGTCACCTTTGAGTTGGTTCTGACTTAACAGCAAGGCCTTTGCATTTGAATCAACAAGGTTTTCTTTTTTGGTTTAAATAAATTTAAAAAAAGAGGATTTCACTTTTTTAATAGTTGGACACTTATTACCAAAAAATCCCCCATGTCATGGCATAAATCCAACTTACAGGGACCCCACAGGACAGGGTAGAACTGCCTGGTAGTTTCTGGGGAGGAAACCATTATGGGAGCAGACTGCCTCATCTTTCTATTGGGTTCAAACAGCTGGTTAACCATACAACAGTTTACAGTCTACACCACCAGGACTTCCTCTTAACTATAAAGCACCTCTAAATTCCGATCTAGTAATTTTTCCTCCAAGGTATATAAAACCCCTCAGTCTCCATGTTGGTAAGTACTGTTCAGTTGGAATTGACCCATTACTGACCTTCCAGTGGGTTTTCAGAAGTTGTAAACTGTGTGAGAGATGACTGTCTTTCTCTCATGGTGCAGCTGGTGGATTCAAACTTGCTGGCAGTGCAACTCCTTACCACTAAGCCACCAATCCCCTTAGGTGGTACAAACGATTAAATGCTAGATTACTAGCTGAGAGGCAGGTAGCTAGAATCCACATAGAGGCGGCTTTGGGAGACAGACTTTGTTACTTGCTTTCAAAAAGTCAGTCTTGAAATCTCAATGGAATAGTTCTACTCTGCACATGTGGGGTCACCATGAGCTCGAACTGATTCAATGGCAACTAACAAGAACATTTCCTCTTAAGATAAAAAGAATTCTGCAATTTTGCAGATCTGTACATATCTCAGACAGAATGGCAGAGCGCTGGTTCTATCATACAACCACAGCTTGGAAAGGGTGAGGAAAACGCTGTAGCATGCTGGTATGTCACACTTACATTGTCGTCTCAAATAAAGCAGTTGGTCTGAAGGTAGCCTGTGGATGAACCTCAAACTACTTCATTGGGGAAAGACAAGTAAACTGTTTTTTACTGAGTCTTATACAACTGTAGACTGAGAGCCCAGCTGCTATGGTCATGGCCTCACATTCTTCCGGCAAAGGCTCCAGCTGACAAGATTTATGAGGTGGTCTGAAGAAGCATGCTAAGCAATGTGGGATGAACCACAAGGGAGAACTTCTGGCCAATGCAGATCTAGTTTCTGTCCAGGCAGCCTCAAAACTGGCTGTCTTGCCTCTGTGCTCCATACTCAAGACTGAAGCAATAAGGGCTCTTCTCACTTAGATTCTCTGGGATAAGATCAGAGCCGTGTTAAGGTTTGAGGATGTGAAGACACAGAGGGTTACTGGAGAGCCTTTTTACTGGCAATGGACATAGAGGTAGCACTGAATACTCCCAACACTGTCATGGAGAAAGGAAACTAAAAACACGAATAAGGAAGACAGACTTGGCTGCTGACCTCCTACCAGTCCCCGGATGTCTCTAAGACTGAACAAAATCACTTTTCATTTCCAGCAGCCAGCGCAGGCAACAGCCATCACTGAAGTCATCTCAGGAAGATGGAAAATCAAAACTCATCAGGGCTAAGAAGCGGTAAGCTAAGAATCATGATTTTCCTTAACAGTGAGATGAGGATGTTCAACAAGCCTGTGACAAACTAGCAAAGCTTCAACTTTAAGTAGCTTTAAATCATGTTCACCGAACAACAGCTCAAATGCAGATAGAACCGGTGAACAAATCCAGAAGGGGGTCCGTCAGGGATGTATTTTGACCAAGGCCCCGCTGTGGTGGTAACAGGGCATCACACTGCACTTACAGTGAGCTGGGCCGGGTGGGCTTGACCACGTCCAGGTCTGGGTCGCTGGAGTTTATGTTCGGCTGCAGACTGCTGCTGGAATTAAGGATGCTGTTTGCATTTGATGACACGACAGATTCCAGACTGGAGTTGATGATGCTGTTCCTTTGTTCCTCTGGAAGGAGGAGAAATGCAATATGACACATATTAATATGGCTTCACAGAGTTTATTTATTCATGCATATATAAGAGTGTGCCCGTAATGAGTTCATATTGAGACCTCTGGACCCAAGGAAGCTAAGAAAAGGACATGGGAAAGAATAAGAATTAAAAATAGGAGAAAAGAGCCAAAAGGCAATGAATTTTAGAGCAGATCCTCTTTTTCATCCAGACAAGCTAACTATCCCCTCGAATATGAGTCAGCCTTTTCCCTAGGCAGGCCCTCAGTGAGATGAACTGACCCAGTGATGGTAACAACAGGCTGAAGCCCTGCAAAGATTATGCAGGGATTCGTTCTTTCGAACACAGAGGCCCTGGAGGTGTGGCCGAACACCAAGGTTCCCCTGAGGGTGCTACACCATCAACTGTCTCTTGTCTTGACTGGCAAATGGTCAGAACACAGAACAGACATTTGTCGGTCTCTCACATTCAACCAGATCCTTTTGGCTTCTGTGACTCTCATCTTTTCTGCTAAAATTTCAGTGTCAGATATATTGGCCTAACTTTCCAGGCCATGCCCTAGTTCTAATTTTAAAATGATTCACCATAGAATACTTGTTATTTGGCCACCAACTTCCTTTTGATGCAATTCTAAGCTACTCACTGCTGTAGAATCAGAACTGACTGACAGCTGGCCGTCCAGTGGGTTTTCAGAGGCTGTAAATTGTATGGGAGGAGACTGACCATCTTTCTTCTAATGATGCAGCAGTCCTTTCTAGATGACCCTTTTCTAGAAACACTTTTTTACATAGTCTCTCAATCTATGATGTTAATGTTTAACCTGTACTTTAATAAACAGATTTATAGCAGATTCGAATAGTCTGATTCAGTGACTGGGATAATCAGGATGGGAGTGTCAGAGACAGTGCCATTGGCACAGGACAGAGTGGAGTTTAGGGCTGTTGTACATAGGGTCACTATGAGTCGCAAGCGACTCGACGGCACATAATAACAACAACAACATGTAAACTGGGTCCAGTCATATAAATCAGTCATATTAATGCTTGAGGAATAGTAAGAATAGTAGTACCAAGCAAGGAGGGGGTGGGACATGAGCTCTCTCCAAGACTTCACCAGTGACATGTGGCCTTAAGTCAGTCTTAAGACCTTTGATTCTTCTTGTTGTGTGCCTTTGAGTTGCAACCAACTCAGAGCTGACCTTCCAGTGGGTTTTCAGAGGGAGTAAATCACACGTGAGGAGACTGCCCATCCTTTCCCCACAGAACAGCTGGTGGGTTTAAACTGCCATATGCACAAGGGAAAGAAGGAGAACTGCGCTGCACAGCTCACAGGACTGTCAAATGACTACATGGGCTGAAAAGCAGGAACGTGTTTTGTAAACTCTTGAATACTGCTCAAAGAAAATAACTGTGTTTTTCTCATCTTTAAGAACTTAGAATCACACTTTGAAAAAAAGCTAATTTGGGGAGATGACTTAGCTAAATGGCACAGGCAATACTGCTCTATCAAATCATTCCAGACTTTGAATGTCATTCTCATCCCTAATTCGCCCCAATGATACCATAGTGAAAGAGACCTGACACTTTGGCAATCAACAAACATACTTCTCAAGAAACAGAAAATTTAAGTTCACATTCAATCTCCTCACTATATCTTTTTTCTCTTTTTTAAAAAATTAATTTTAATGAAAGTTTACAGAGACTTTGGATTTCCATTCATTCATTGTTGCACTTTTCTCCCTGCCCAACCTCCCCCGCAGTTCACTCTTCTCTTTGAAAAGTAAAAGAAAAATTCTTTCATTTTCATACAATCCCGGCCCCCAAGTCTGCTCCACTATGCAGCCTTTGTTTTGAAAAGTAAAAGAAAAATTCTTTCATTGTTATACAATCCCTTCCCCCAAGGCCACCCCACTATGCAGCCTTCTTTCTGGACTCCTTTCATGACAGGAAGACCAGACGTATACTATATCCCTGAGAGGACAGAGTGGCTCACTGGTTGGTTACTGACATTCGAATCAAGTCTCTTTAATGCATGAAAGGAGTGATGTGACGTGATGGCAAAGATGCTCCCTCCTTACACTAACTAGCCATTGTCTATAAAAAAATATATTTATGAAACAGTGTTAGAGCAATCTTCATAGTAGGCACACAGACACACATTCATGTTTCCTAATGTCTAGGTAAATCTTAAATGCCTTGGAGCTCCACAGAAGAACTAAATGCTCACAAAGGTATTAGGTTATAACCTAACCTTTATGAATGGTTTTGAGGGGGAAGAAGCAGAATATAAAATTGATTCCTGAGATACCGAACTAGTCATATTTAAAGAGCTTAGGCTCAGACAGACACACAAAAAAAGTGAGAATTAGGATGAGAGCTCAGAAGACTAATAACCTGTAAATGGAAACTTGCTACTGAAAGAAAACAGCTCCAAAGTGACACAATCAGGGCTCATGGGGAGTTATGGATGGGTCACATATCAGTACCATTTTCTGGAACTACTCTTAGGAGCCCAAGACCACTACATAAAGAAGTCTAAAAGTATTATATTTTAGGGCATTATTTTTATCGTAGGAGTATGCAATGAGGGTTGTAGAGTGGATTATATTTGGGGCTAGGGGGTGGG